AAACAGCCCATTTGCCCATCCATTGGAAACTGGATAAAGAAGATGTGGTTTTTCTATAAAATGGAATATTACTCAGCCATAAAGAATGAGAAAATAGATTAATTCACAGGAAAATGGATACATATTGAAGATATACTCCTAAGTGAAATAAATAAGGCACACATGTGTAAATACCAAATAGTTTCTCTGATGTGAATAATCTGCAATAATACAGAAGATCCTAATAAGATTACTGACATTGAGAAATGTGAAGAAAGGAGCTAAGGGTGTAGGGAAGGTGGGATGGGTAGGGGAAGGGTAATAAGGGAAAAGAAAAAAATGTGAGAGAATGAAAAGATGAAAATAAAGTGGGCACGGGGGGAAAAAATGAGAACCAAGACCTATCATGTAGAGGTACAAGATCCCAACAATGAATGTAACTGTACTGTATCCCTAAAATGTACCAATAAACTCAATTAAAGCTGAAAAAAAATACTGAGAGAAAATGTTTCAAAATGTGTATCTAGTATAGGATTTTTATCCACAATATATAAAACACTCTCAAAACTCAGTAATGGGAAAAATAACTTTTTCATAAAATATTATGATGCCAAAAATTGAACCTAGGGCTTTTACACAGAGCTATCCCCAACCCTTTACTATTTTTTTTCTTTTGAGACAGGGTCTTGCTAAGTTGCCTAGTTTCAACTTCATCTTGCTTCCTCCTACCTCAGCCTCCCCAAATGGTGGCATCAAAGACAAGTGCCACCAAGCCCAGAAGACACATTTTTACATACACATTAGAATGAAGTGAACCTGAGCTGGCTGTGTTGGTGCACACCTGTAATTAATTCCAGCACTCGCCAGGATGAGACAGGAGGATTACTACAAATTCGAGGCCAGCCGGGGCTACACAGTGAGCTTAAGGCCAGCCTGAACTACATATATAGCAGGAAGACCCTGTCTCAAAAGTGGTGGGGGGACCCCATCCTGGTATTACCAAGGATGCAGAGCAACACTGTTTATGGATGAATTCCTTTCTTGGAGGATTCTAATCAGGATACAGGTTGATATCTTAATTTCTTTTAGGAAACACTTCAACAGTGCTGCTGTGTGTCATGTATTACTCTAAACACTTTGTAAATATTTAATTCATTTCATTTATATAGCCCATTCAAACCATTTTGAACTAGCTTCCACTTTTAACTACAGGCTTTTTCCTCCATCTAGTAGGCCTGAACCTTAACCTTGCCAATCTTCTCAAGGTGCCTAGAACACATGCACAGGTCCCTCATCATCCCTGTTCACCTAGGAGACAAGTGCCCACATCTGTCACCCTTCCACTCCCCCAAATCCACCAAAGGCCAAGGCAAGCTCTAATCCTACACTCATTAAACCTTACCAATCTTGTGGATCAGAACTGCTCCTCTGTCCCCATTCTTCTCTATGGTACTAGAGGAGCAATTTCTGAAGAACACAATTTCTTACAAGAGCTAACCTAGTAGAATTTGCACCCTCCTTCTCTTCTTTCCTCTCCCACTACCTGGCTCAGTGCTGTTCTGCATAACAGATGGCAGCTCAACATGTAAGTCCATTCATTTAACCTATGAAACAGAGACAAGTCTTAGATAAACAGCAGTTTTCAGCCCCTACTGTATATGAAACACCATTATTTTTTCATATCATTTGTTCATTACCAAAACTACACAAAAAGTCATATCATAAAATAATGACCATTTATAGGACATTTTCTGTGTGCAAAGTACTGTGCTAAACACTTTCAATACCTTATAATATAGCATACTCCCCTCTAAAATTATCCCTTAGAAGAAAGATTCGCCTTATGTTCAAGACATTTTGATGTTCTCATATTATGGAGGGTTTTCCATTTTTTGAAAATCAATATATTATTTGAGGAAGACACATTAGCTTAAATTAATTCAATCATGCTAATTTAGATGTTTACAGAAATCATTTGATAATTTATTTTTTAAAAATAGGAAGGGTAAATAAATTTAACATAAGCTGGGCATAGTGGTATAGCCTCTGGTCTCAGCATCTGGAGGCTGCAGCAGAAGGATCACTTGAGTCCCAGAGATCAAGACCAGCCCAGGCAACCTAGCAAGATCCTGTCTCAAAAGAAAACAAAAAAACTAACATGGATATTTTCATTATTCCTGGTACATGACTTCACATCTGCTAGTGATGGGAAATTTGTAAATAAGCTTTATAACGATGACTTAAAAAAAAAAGTAGCACAGCAAGTTGTCATGTTTTGGAACCACAATGATCCTATAGGAAAGGAAAAATATACCTACATATCTGAGAGTTCATAATTAAGAATATGGATAAAATTCCAACATCACTGATGGATTCAAAAAGCCCCAATACTGCATGTCTCTGAGGAAGCAAAGACATCATGCTCTGAGAAACTGGTTATAAAGCAGGAGAAAAGGTGAGTTCCCCAGACAGAGCACTCAGACACAAAGCAGGAGCAAAAGTGGCTTTACTGATGATGGCTCAACAAGGGATTCATATTTCCTTAAGAGCACTGAACAAAAGTTTACCTTCATTTTTATACCTCTGTTTCTGTGGAGCTTTCCTCTTATTGGAGGGGAAAATAGCAGGCAAGGTTATACAAGCAGAGACTGCAGTTAGGGGGAGGTGGGAAGTTCTGGCAGGACTTTCCAAAACCATTATGCTCTTGTGAACTTGTAGCATAGCTGTAGTCATGACTACCGAAGTCCTTTTAAGATGGGGTGGGGGGCTCTCTCTCAGAGAGACTCACGAAACAACTCTGAGTTAAACAGGAAAGACTAGAGTCTGAACCAAAGCATCTTACGAATATTACAGTAATATGTGATACATTTGTATTTCAGACCACACTCCACAACTAAACAAGTAAGACATATATTATATATATACATAAAATTACGCAACTTCTATAATTTAAATATATGCAGTCAGCCCTCCATGTTGTGGTTCCGTATCCACAGATTTAACCAACCATAGATCGAAAATATTCGGGGGGGAAAAAACTAACTCTGTACTGAACATGTATTGACAATTTTTCTTGTCATTATTCCTTAAACAATACAGTGTTAACAACTATTTGCATTGGATTAGGTATTATAATTCATCTAGAGATGATTCAAAGAGAATGTGCGCAGGACCTATGTAAATACTACACTATTTTACGTAGGGTCCTGAGAATCTAATTTAGTATCCTGGGTACTAAAGGGTGACTGTATCCAATTAACCATTAATAGAGCTTATAAAAATCCTTCATTGGGGCCAGAGATATAGCTCAATGACACTGCACTTGCCTTGCAAGCACAAGGTCCTGAGTTTGTTCCCTAGTACCAAAAAAAAAAAAAAAAAATCCTACATTGGAAAAATGGTAGCTTCTTTCAAAAGAGTCACTTTAGATATGAGCCCTGAAGGAAATCCCAGGGCTGTGGCTATCACTTCATTTTAAAGATAAAGAAGAAGAGTTTACCACTTCTAAGAAGTTTGCCAAAGCCTCACATGTACTAAATGCAAAATATGCCAAGGCCACCTAATCTAAGTAAGAGTGGGTCTGAATACATGCTCCAGGGGAAGGGAAGCCTATCTTCCTTTGCCACTTCCCTGGTGGCCTGATGTAAGAAGAGGACACTTACCTTACAAGCTAAGCTCATATGAAGACACTTCTTTGCCCACACCAGACCTGGACGGTTCCTGTGCTCTCCAGAAAGCTACAAACATGACTTCAGTGATGTGGGAATGGGGGCATTTGAAAGTTCACATTACGGAGCCCCCCAATCCCCTGTAGGGGCCAGTAGTCTTATACTGCCCTCACCCATTGGAAAGATAGAGGACATCAGTCCTTTATCCACAGGGGACATGACTGTCCTAAACCCCCAGGATAGGCCTGACACTGGAGGTAGTACCGACTCTACACATACTACATTTTTTCATGATAAAGTTTAATTTATAAATTAGGGACAGTAAGACATTTATAACAATAAGTATAAAGATAGAACAATTAAAACAATACACTACTGTAAAAGTTGTACAAATGTGGCCTCTTTCTTGAAAGAGTCAAACATAAAATACTTTTGGACCACATTAACTGCAGGTCAATATAGATAAGGGGGTACTGCTGTATACTTGAAAGACAAAAGGAATTAACAAAACAGTTCTTGCTTTATGTTCTGTCCTAAACATGTTTTATTCATATTTCTTAAAAAGAGAAGAGAAACTTTAGAACCACAAAGACCTAGAATCTTTATCTCCTCTATTTTGACCTCAATCACAGAGCAGCAGCTGACCATAAAACATGCACAGCCTTTGTGGTTTGCTTCTGAATTCTCAGTTAGAATATCATCCTAAGAACAACATAAAATGTACGACTCTCAGAATATAAAGTATCAAGGAAGGTTACTGGGAATAATGACTCTGAGTTTTAGGTAAATTCACTTAAACCCTAATTGTGCCCTTCCAGAAGACAACATTATATGTTGGGTTCTTAGACAGGATAGGGACGTCTATGGGCATTGGATAGGACATCCTGGGAAGGTCACCAAGCTTCAACCTAACCCCCAGCTTCCCCTGCAGCCCAGGTAATAGTGCTTGTGAGGATTCCTCTTTATTTAAGCAAAGTTGTTGGAAAGGTTAAACACAAATGAAAGGTTTTCTTTTAGGAGACTTCTGTAAGCTTTTATTTAATTATATACGAGAACAAGAATATAATCTTTCATTTCTGAAGTTGATAAAATAAAATAGCATTAGCAATCCAAAATATCTATTTCTGCTCAAAATTATAACACCTCTAAGATATAACCCTATCATAATAATTTGCTGAGAACCTCTATGAGGAATGCTTTTGAAGACCCTGCTTCCTACTACACAAAACAAAATCCTGACTTTGAGGGCTCACAATGTCCACACCATCCTCTCCCTTCTATCTTGCCCTGTCCTTCCAGATAGGACAGAAGCAATTTCAGCCCCACAGACTGGGTGTCAATGTCCTTGCTCACCTGAATGTGCATGGCTCCCTCTACTGCTTCTGCAATGTTGGAGCAACCACTGATGAGTGACAGCTGCTGTTCCATACTCAGGGCACCTTTCAGGGAACCGGACTGCTCCAGCAACTTCATCTCCTTTCTTGGAAAGAGAAAGAGAGTAGTTGCTGTAAGTAATCAAAAATAAATTTAGAAGAAAAGCTCAATGTGACTACTTACCAAGAAGATGCAAATCACAATCACAGTGAGATACCACCTCACCCATTACAGTATTATTAAAAACAAAATAAAACAAAAATCCCCAGAAAATACCAAGTGTTGTGAGGATGTGGAGAAACTGGAACTTTTGTGTGCTTTGGTGCAGTTGTAAGTGATGCAGCCTCAATGGAAAACTATGGAGTTTCCTCAAAGAGTTAAAAATAGAATTACCACATGATCCAGAAACTCTACCTCAGGTATGGACCCAAAAGAACCAAAAGCAGAGTCTTAAAAAGATGCTGGTGCACCTATATTCATAGCAGCACTACTCACAACAGCCAAGAGTAGGATCACCATTAAGGGTTTATGAATAGTCAAAATAAAAGAAGACATCCAAAGTGTTGTATATATTCACAATTGGATGTTATCCAGTTTTAAAGAGGAAGGAAGTTCTGACACATGCCACAGTGTGGATGAACCTTGAGGATGCCAGGCTGAGTGAAATAAGTCAGACCCAAAAGGATAATACTATATGATTTTACTTATATATGGAGAGTAGTCCAATTCATGGAGAAAGAAAGTAGGATAATAGTTTTCAGGGCCAGAGGGTTTGGAAGAATGATAGTTAGTATTTAATGAGTACAGAGGTTCAGTTTGAAAAGACTGAAAATTCTGAAGATGGACGGTGGTAAAGTCTGCACAGCAATGTGAATATACTTAATGCCATTCAAATGTGTGCTTAAAATGGTTGAGATTATAAATTTTGTTATATGTACTTTACTACAATTTTAAACTGTTTAAATTAAACTTGTAAAAAATAAAGGATAAAACAAGGCTCACTGGGTGGGGCTGAAAAGGACCAGAAAACACTGGTTCTTCATCCTCGTCCCTGGGTCTGTCCCCTAGAATGAAGAGTTGACAGACAGTGTCTCATGATCAACTCCAACTTCCTGGTATGTGACTAATGCAGTCGCCCAGAGTCTCTGCTCAGAGGGCCCAGCTGGATTAATACTGTGCTGTCTTGAAGTTCTCAGTACAATCTGAATAAGGAGCCCCACATTAGCATTTGTGCTGAGACACAAATTATGTAGCCAATTCTGCTTTTAATTCAAGAAGTACTAAATAAACCAGACAAAATCTGCACACAAACATACACAGTTGCCTAAGAAACAACAACAGCTGTGCTTTCCAAAATATTCAGTGGGTTTTTTTATCAGTAAGCCAAGTAGTTTTCACATCATTTCACATCACATTTTTTTAATAAGAGATAAAAATTATACCTATTTATGGAGTATCGTGATGTTTAGGTACATGTACACAATATGGAATGTTCAAATCAATGCAAATATATCTATCTCCTGTAACGATTATCATTTCTTTATGGTAAAAACATTCAAAATCCCTCTAGCTTTTAAAATAAAGTATACAAGATTTATCTGTGTTCATGCTACTATGCGCTAGCACTAAAGGTCTTCTTGCTTCTACCTAAGTACAACTCAATACCTCTGATCAACCTCCCTTCTTCCCTCTTGCTCCACCCAGGCACTGGTGACTGCCATTCTGTTGTCTTCTGTGAGATGAACAGTTTCAGATTCTACATAAGAGTGAGGTCATGTAATACTTATCTTCCTGTGATGGTTTTTCTTTAAGTTGTGCATGTCCTTCAGCCAAAAGCCAAGAGGAGCACACAGCAGGAGAAGACATTGGATCTGCAGAGACAGGGAGATGCACACAGGGCTCTCAGCAACGCTTCTCAGGAAGAGGGTGCCAGAGAGGACCTGTAACCAGACTTGTACTCCCTGGGAAATCACCAGGAGGCCAAAGGGAGTGGGGCTCACTCTCTGAGATGCTGTGAGAAAGCATAGGCAACTGGAAGATTGAGTACCTCATTAAATCTTCTCCAGATGGAAGGGAGACTAGACCTAGACAAAGCTGGAACCAAGAAAGGGGTGCTCAGTATTTATAAGTGACCTTATTTTTTCCCATGCTCAGATTTATGAAGTGGTCTTGCTTGTCTCTTGTCATAGCTAAGAGCAATATTGTCTAAAGTTGTTGTTCTGTGAGGCCACTTAGACCCAACAGGATGCTCTTTGCTTTGGTTTCAGTTTCTTTGCTTCCTTAATGTTGTGCATTTTGTTTGCTTTTAGGTATAACAGGTGTCACTGTCCTTACTGAAAAGGGGATATGCCAAAGTATAAATGAGTTTCCATATTATCTGAAGCAAAAACAATCTTTGTGGAAAAGATCATGAGTCCCGCCACTGACCAGTCAGAGTGTCTTCCCGCCTAGGGGATAAAAAGGGTAAAAGACAATGTAGGTCAATGAGGCTTAGACTTGAACTTTTTAAGAGGGAGAGAAAACATTAGATTATTCTCATGTAAATCATTTGGAAGATCTGTAATATATCTACTAAAATGTGGGGGGATATATAGATAGGAGTTTATATCTATACACACATACACTTCAAAAAGTTAAAATGGGTTGAGGAGAATGTAGCTCAGTAGTAAAATACTTTCCTAGCACATGTGAGGCTCTGTGTTCAATCTCCAGCACCACAAAAAATAAGACAAAATAAAATGGGCCAGAAAATGGCTTACTTTAGATGATCAAAAGGATCAGAGGTCCTCCTCAGCTGTCATCACACAGAAAACAACAGTAGGACACTCAATATCCCTTATCCCCTCAACGTGGAGGCATTTTTTCATGTGTAATAGGTTTCTTGAAGCAGTGGGTTATAAAGCCAGTTCACGAAAAAAATGCACAAAACAAAATACATTTCTTATCCATTTATCAGGAAGTTTATATAAGCTGGACAGGCTCTTCAGCATCTTTGCAACAGATTATAAATTTAAAGATTTATATGCTTGACTGCTAAAAATCAAGGAAGAACCAGTTTGAGCTAAATCTAGTAAATACATATTTGAAATAGTGTTGACTGAAGTCACAATGGTGGGCCTTCACACTAATTAAGGTGTGTTAATAAATGGCTGTGACATACCAGTTCCACCTCTAGAGGTCAGTCTAACACTACAACACAGAACACAGTACTGTACTTGTACTGTACTTGTACTCCAGCTAAGTTAAATTTTCATTTAAATTGAGAGGGGAAAAATGTTTACAATTCTCACTGTAAGGTAGAATATGTATGAATGGTGTGATATTTCTATTTTTGAAGTTTTATTCGAAATGTTCATTTATTCTTTTAAAAGAGAAGGGCTATAGAGAAATTAGAACCCTTGTGCACTGACTGATGGTAGGAATGAAAGATGGTGCAGCTGCTAAGGAAAATAGTAGAGTGGTTCCTCAAAATTTTAAAAATAAATCTACCATTGACCTGGTATGTATCAAAAAGGATTGAAAGCAGAATCTCCAAGAGGTATCCGCACACCTGTGTTCACAGCAACGTTGTTCTGAAAGAACAAAGATGGAGGCAACCTGCGTGTTCACAGATACATGAATGGTTAAGCCAGGCATGGCACATGCACACACCGAAGAGCTCTCAGCCTGGAAGAGGAAGAAGATCCTGTCCTGTACACAACAGGTGCACCCAGAAGCCACTACACTAAGCGAAAGAAGCCAGCCACAAAAGGTCAACTACTCCATAGTTTCACTTACACGAGACATCCAGAGTAGTCAAATTCATAGAAAAGAAAGGAGAACGGTAGTTGTCACAAGCAGAAGGGAAAGGGGAGATGGGCAGCTGTTATTTAATGCATTCAGAGTTTCATTTTTAGAAAATGAAAAAGTTCTCAAAATTGGTTGCCAAACAATGTGCATGTCCTGAACTTAAAAGTACACTTAAAAGTGGTAAGATGGTGAAATTCCATGTGAACTAGAATTCAGAAATGAATCGATTTAGGAAGTATCTGCTCACAGATAGTTAAATAATGAATTAGAAAATCATTTTGGCTTGTATATTGCAATTGCTTCACATAATAATCTAGGCCTTGCGCTTTACGTTACACATGGTAAATATATTTATTTATACACATAAATTTATCTTTGCCCCCTCCAGAAACCTTAAAACCAGGTCAACGACATTTTTTTAAAGATATGAATATTTTGCAAGATGAAAAATAATGTAAAAGTGATACGGTGAATGGCTGAGCAGAAGGGGAAGTGTGGAGACAGGAACGCACCGAGGAGGAGCAAGTCAGAGCGACTCCCCCCAGCCTGGGCAGGGCTGAAGCCACAGGAGCCAGATAGGATGGTACAGTGAGTGTGGACAGGAGCTGGAGAGTGTCTGCCGAGAGCCCACAGCCCTCACCCACTCACTCCTATAGAAACTATACTGAGACAGACCAGACACAGGGCAGAAGAGGTGTAAGATAAGGCACAATACCAAAAGGGCAGGCCCCCCCAGACATAGCACACATACCACTCATACATATCCCACACACACTACATACCACACTACACACACTACACAAACCACACGTTACATAGCACATAGCACATCACATAAACACACAATGCATGCACACACAAGATTCATACACACTGCACAAGCACTACACTAGTACCACATACCATACATCACACACATCACACACACTAAGCCACAGAGTACCACAATATACACACATTCTGTCACACCGCGTACCACACAGGCACACCCTATAGCACACTCTATATCACTATACACAAACTGCACTGCACCACACAACCACACCATACCACAAAAACACAGCACTGACCATACACACACCTATTCCAGGCCCAGAAATGTGACAACCAGAATGGCAGACAGAGATTAGCAGGAACTTTTTCTGGAGAAACTGAAGAGTCAAAGAAAGGAGACACACAGATACTGATGTTTGAGAGTTCCAGTGAGAGGCTACAGGCTTAAGTTGTAAACCTCATAATAATCATTATCTTTATGCACATACTGCTTTAATTTTTTTAAATGTAAATACATACTGAACATTCCTCATCTAAAACTCC